CCTAAAAACCTGCTTTAAAAAGAGTAAAAAAAGTTATTGATCTTAGTATTATATCAAGTCTTCAATCTAGGCGCAGGTGAAACAGATGTTTGATTGCCAGCTAGGTAAGCTATCTAGATGAAATACTAAGATGGTTCCTAAAAGGTGGGTTTGAAGAAGGCTCTGTTTATATAGCCCTTTTCCTTAGCACCATTTCCCACATTTACGTGTTATACATATGCGGGGTAATTGTGGGGTTGGTTGCTATGCCAATGCCTTAGGCAGTTGTGATTACTGATTGCCTCAGCCTGTGGCCTTGCACTGTCATGGAGGCTGGACAGAGCCCGCCCGTTCTACGCCATCACAAAACTTGAACAATATTGTAAAGACAAGGATATTAATGTTAGAGTCACCAAATTTACTAGAAAGAGTCATAAATAGATTGTCTACTGCATAATCAAATTGCATTTAATGAATCTTGCTACATTCATTGATAAATTAATTTAATATCCCAGATAAAAAAATATTTCATGTTGAGGTGGCGGTTCACATTGAGGTGGCAGACCCTTGTATGCGAGGTCCGACTGGAGGTTGATTATGAAATCAACCACTAGGGCCCGCGGCTAGATTTTATCAAGACGATTCTTCTACTCTAATTTAGCTTTTAGCTACTTTTTTAACTATTCTTTTTATTCTTGGGTCTACACAAAACTTGAATTTCTTTATTTATTCTACACATCTGCCATTTCATTCTTTAATGTTGTTCTCTCAACTCTGCAGGTAACTTGTGACACCTATATAACTATCCCCGTCCGCTAACAACTTGAGAAGCTATCTTCAGAGCACTACATTAAGATCCTTCAATTACCCATCATCAGAGTAGGGATCCATGGCTACCTGTTGTGATCAAGCCGAGGAGGATCATAAGGTTTTACCAAACTCAAAAACTATCCTCAATTCATCGCGATTTTCCCTAATTTCGCCAGTGGTATCAGCTCTTCTTCACAGCTCGTGCTGTTGGCTTCCTGTGAGTCCTCCTGGTTGATACTATTCTCATTTTCAACTGGAGTGGAATGGACGCCCGTGTTCTAATCTATGGCTAATACTGCATATTGCACATATTGGTGAAGACCTTGCTTGATTTTTTTTCCTTCGGGTCCGCTTCAGCTTCCCAGTTCCAAACTCTCCGACCTTTTTTCTTCTGGGCAACGCTTCTTATTCTTGCGGAAAGCGTCCGTAGGAACGGTTTAGATCGCCGGGCCTTCTTCCGTATCACTATATCAGGCTTCTTTCTTGCGTTGCCGCAGCTGTCACAGTTCACCAAACGAGCTGCGAACCAAGGGGCGAACCAAGGGGGCGAACCATCGGAGCTGCCACTGATCGGAGGAGCAACTTATGATTGACATTCTGATTTTCAGTAAAACTTTTATGTGGATTCTTAAACGCTTGGATGCGATGGGAATTTCCTACGTGAGATTAACTGGAAAATATGCTTTTC